ATGGACGTGGCACAATGGACTTTCAGAAGGTGTTTGGTGAATTGATGTGATAACATGCTCATCAGAATTTTGGTGAATGAATGTTGAATGAATTTGAAATCAAAGACCAAACCACAACACCCATGAAGAGGAAATGAGAGGATGGTTCTAGACAGATTGAGGGTTACATCGCAGAGAAACAATGGAAAAGCAGCCAGCACTCTGGGCGGGGCTCAGAAACCCCAGACTGTGTGAAGTGTGCTTAGAGTTGTTTTTGTTTTTCCCTTTCAGATGACAGTAGTGGCTGTTTTTTTTTTTTTTTTTTCTTTTTCTGATTTTTCAGAGTTTCAAGTAGTAAGTTAGGGGACTCATAAGAATCACTGTAAATAAACAAAATGGAACACATCTTCATGCCTGCTGGCTGGTAACTTTGGTTTCTGTGGTTTTTAACTTTGGTATGGAATAGAGTCTCTGAAACAAAACAGGGTTAGAGAGCTGTGCTCAGGAGCCCAGGTTTGGGCCTTTTCAGAAGCCACCATAGGAACTGTTCCAAAAAACAGTTTAAAAGAAAAATGGAAAAAATGGATTGGCAATGACAAGCATATCTGCCACGTAAGACAGTCTAGCATTGTATTAAAATTGGAGATTCAGATAGAAAAACTGCAGGGGCAATCAATCCCTCAGAGAGCAGGGAATATGATCTGGATCCTGCTTCATCTCTGGCAGTCAGGATAAGTGGTCCCCTCCAAATCCGTAGCCCCCTGGCTTGGGGTCACCAAGCCTTTAGGGAAGCCTGAGGCAGTAGTAGGACTTTGAGACTCAGGTTAACAGCTGGATATGGTTTTTGGCACATCTACCCTTACAGGAAGGGACAATGGGAATTTCTAGATGGATCAATGAGAGCAAAGGGATTTGGGGCACTGGGAGGTGGGGCACATTCACTATAGATGTTGGTGGTGTGAAAGTACTGGACTCACTGTGGGCTTTCAGAAAAGGCTAGAGTGGGGACAGCCACTATGGTTTAAAGAAGAGCAGGGTGTGGTCTGGATGCAAGGAATGGAGGGAGGGTGGAAGCTGTGCAGCTGGTAGAGGGAGTGAAGGCAGTTGCCACTCAAGAGTTGCTGCCCCTGCAAAGGAGCTTCTCAACCAGCCCAACAGGGCCAACGTTACTGTCCATGGGCTCCAGCTGGCTTCTTTACAGGAAATAAACAGGGTCTCTATCTGCTAGGGGACCTGCAGACTCCTACCCTGGATTCCAATTCTTGTTTTCCCAGACTCCTGGGCTTCTGAAACTTTCCCTATCACATTTCCAGGACCTGGCCATCTGCCTGCCTGGCCAGTTCTGTAGCCTTCTAGGTGGAACCTCTACCAGTCTCGATGAGCTTCTGGTCCTTCCCTGAGCCCAGCCTGCCCTGGCTCACTGCCACCCAAGTCCCTGCAGTGCAGATTCCATTTGGAAGTATGAGGAGTGGGGATATCTTCTGCTGGGGTTGGGAGAAGGGACATAAATATGGAGCATGTTCTTGGCTGTTATCATCTATGTACAGGCAGTGGGAGGACTCTGAAGTGCTGAGTGGGGGGCCAACATGGGAGAAATTATTGTGGCTCCACCTAGAATGTTATAAAACAGATAGAATTTAGCAATAAGGAGGGATGCAGATTTGAATGACAATAATGAGAAGGTTCAACCTGACCATGGATTCCACTTGCGTCATTGCTTCAGGGCAGCTTATTCTGCCCCAAAACTCCACTGTCTCTGTGTCCCTGAGCATTCTTGGCTCTTGCCAGACTTCCTAATTTGGGCTGAGACATCCACATTCAAGCATCTCCTGAGCAGTGAGTGCCAGTAGGGGAGACTTCACTGCATTAGGCATGTGGACAGTGGGTGAGCACACCTATCATCGCTTGTCACCTATCTAGTGACTTATGCAATCTTTAAAAAAAAAACTCACACATACACACAACACACAAAACAATGTGTGTTTCAATGGTTGAGTTCCACCATGAGAGTAAAAATTTTTAGTGGAAATAATGATATAGCACTCATGTTTCACTGGCATTAAGCAGCTGCAAGCCAGGTGCCCAGAGAGGGGGACTGCGGCAGAGCTTGACTCAGTGGAAGGAAGTGGTGTGTTTCCATTGCAGAGCTCAAAAACAAGGTGGTTTGAGGAAAGGCTTGCGTGTCACTGGCATTTCCCTGTTGTGTTTATGAAATAAGGTGGGAATAAATCTTCAAGGTTTCTCTAATCTTGTCTTTTACAAGAAACCACGAAGCCCCCGTGGAACACCAGCAGGGGGCTGTGACAGCCCCAGGAGGTGCTGGGGAAACCCAAGAGCACCTGGCTAGGGAGGGAGGGGGGCACTGCAATGCCCAGCAATCTGAGGCCCTATTTTAGGGATGAAAACCTGAGGAGGCTCTTTGTCCAGTTGTTTCCTTCTCTAGATGGTCAGTGTGGGTGCAAACAGTAGGCACTGTGTAGATGGAACTGAATGTTCAGGCCAGGGAGAGGCACTGGGGTCCCTGGGAGGCATCTTAGAAGATGGATTTGCATACAGCAAATGTGGAAGATGCCAGTGTTCTTGAAACATACTGACCACCTGGAGCATACCATTTCCTCTGCACTGGTGTCATGGGAGGACTTTTACTAAAGTTGTCAGTTTTGCCAGAAACCAGCTCCATATTTCACAGGTCAGTTCACAATTTCTACTGCATGGGGGAGAGAATAACATTGAAGAGAACTTCCAAGCATCCAGCAAAGAGAGAGAATGACCCATTGATGGTTTGGATGGTTTCCTTACCAGTGGGCAAGCAGGGTGGCATTCCCAAAATGAAGTGCTGACAAAGAGCTTAAACAGAAAAATGCCAAGGTGCTCAGGAGTGATCCTTCTCTTTCTGGATGGCAACATTTACCACAGTCTCCTAGCCCATGCAGCCCCAGAAACTAAGACACCTTTGAAGTACCATATCAGGGGTTCATTTCTATATTTAAACCAGAGTGAAAGACAATGAGCCAGATGAAAGGGTGCCTATAAACAGCAAATACAGAGTAAGCAGAGGTGCCTGCTAGTCATGCATCTGTGGCCAAGCCCTGATGTTCCACTTACCTGTTTGGGTTGCGATCAGACAGCAAAACAATGGGAGAAAAAAAATCCCCACACTTTCACAAGGAGGCTTACTGGAAAATCTTCTAACAAATAGAGTCAGAAGTGTAAGCACAGCAATCTTGAAACCACCTTCTCATCATTCAAATGTTGTTTTCAAAATTGTCTCTCTCCTTAGCCATTGCCTTGGCAGCCTTATAATTGATTCTTGGGCATGAAGTCCCATCTAGAGGCCACACAATGTGTCTCAAGTGCTATGGGCTAAATTGTATACCCCCTCCACCAAATTCATACATTGATACCCTAATCTCCCATACTTCAGAATGAGACTGTTTTTGAAGGTGGGTTTTTTTAAAAATATAATTTATTGTCAAATTGGTTTCCATATAACACCCAGTGCTCATCCCAACAAGTGCCCTCCTCCCTGCCCATCACTCACTTTCTCCTCTCCCCCACCCCCCATCTATCCTTAGTTTGTTCTCAGTCCTTAACGGTCTCTTATGGTTTGCCTCACTCCCTCACTGTAACTTTTTCTCTCCCTTCCCCTCCCCCATGGTCTTCTGTTAAGTTTCTCAAGATCCACATACATATGAATGAAAACACATGGTGTCTGTCTTTCTCTGCCTGGCTTATTTTACTTAGCGTAATACCCTCCAATTCCATCCACATTGCTGCAAATGGCCAGATTTCATTCTTTCTCATTGCCAAGTAGTATTCCATTGTATATATAAAGCACATCTTTATCCATTCATCAGTTGATGGACATTTAGGCTTTTTCCATAATTTGGCTATTGTTGAAAGTTTTGCTATAAACACTGGGGTACATGTGCCCTTATGCATCAGCACTCCTGTATCCTTTAGGTAGATTCCTAGCAGTGCTATTGCTGGGTCACAAGGTAGTTCTATTTTAATTTTTTGAGGAACCTCCACACTGTTTTCCAGAGCAGCTGCACCAGTTTTCATTTGAAAGTGTGGTTTTTTAGAGGTGATTAGGTTAAGATGAGGTCACACGAGTGGGCCTTAACCCAATAGAACTGATGTCCTTTTAAAAGAGGAAATTTGGACACAGACATACATGAGGGAAGACCATGTGAAGACACATGGAGAAGATGGCCACCTACAAGCCAAGGAGAGTGGCTCTCAGTAGAAACCAACCCTGCCAACACCTTGATCCTGGATTTCCAATCAAAGAACTGTGAGAAAATAAATTTCTGTTGTATAAGGCACTCAGTCTATACTTTATTATGGCAACCCTAGCAAATTAATACATTGTGTTTCTAGAGACTAATTTTAAAAAATGAAAGAAGAATATTGGAAGTCAGTGAGACCCCTCACTTTATAAATGAGGCAACTGAGGACTGCCAATCTAAAGTGACTTATATGAGGTCACACATTTATATATATTTTTTTATTTATATATGAAATTTATTGTCAAATTGGTTTCCATACAACACCCAGTGCTCATCCCAAAAGGTGCCCTCCTCAATACCCATCACCCACCCTCTCCTCCCTCCCACCCCCCATCAACCCTCAGTTTGCTCTCAGTTCTCAACAGTCTCTTATGCTTTTGGCACCCTGAACGCGCCCGATCTCGTCTGATCTCGGAAGGTCACACATTTAAATAGCAGTCAATCAATATTTACTGAGCATCCAGTAGGTGCCAGGCACTGTTTTAGCGCTAAGCAAGACTGACAGAGTCCCTGCCTTCACACAGCTTACATTATACCACAGGAATCAAAGAATAAATAAACACATTAATATGTATTGTTGGGTAGTGAAAAGTGATATGGAGGAGAAATAAACAGAATAAGTGAAGCCGCACTTGGTGAGTTCTAGAAGAGCAGGGAGGAGGGTGTGGCTGGAATGGAGAGTGAAGAGAGACTGCCAGGAGGTGAAGTCAGAGTGGAAGGGGGAGCTAGTCCTGGTAATACACAGTAAGCACTGGGGCTTTGCTGTAGGTGGAATGAGGAGTCTGGGAGAGTTTTGAGTAGGCCTGACAGTTCCTGTCTTCATTGTGAAGCCATCACCTGGGCTGAACATGGAGGACTGGCTGACCCAGGAAGCAGAGTGGAAACAGAGCAACTATGAGACCACTGCAGTGCCCAGGTGAGAAGTACAGTGCTAGTGGTGGGTAAACTCTGGATCTATTTTTAAGAAGAGTGGACAATATTTGCTCATAGATTATATTGGGGTGCAAGAGAGAAAAAGAAGACTAAAGAATGATTTCAAGAGTTTGGGCTGAGCTCTTGATAGAATGGGGATGTGTGAAAAATCAGGTTTTAAGCACACAAAGCTGGAAGCACTTGCCAGACCCTCAACTGGACCTGGCAAGTGGTTAGCTGCTGGCCTCACCAGCCTGAAGCTGAAAGAAGTCAAGGCTGTAGATGTAAAAACTTAGGAATGGGGCACACGGAGGTGGTATTTCAGGTACTCAGCTTCGACAAACTCACTGTGTGCAGAAGATAACTGAGAGGGTCAGAGAGAAGAGGAGAGGCCACACAGAGTGGGAAGCCACAAAGCTGAGAACTAGGACAAGGCTTCCAGGAATACAGCAGAGGCAACATTTCAAGAGGGAGTGAGTGTTGACTGTGTATTTGCTGCTGAGACATTGACACAGGGACTGGAAAATGAATGCTGGCTTTGGCAAGTGAAAGTTCGGTGGCATTAACAGCTGTTTTGGTGGGGACAGTGAGACAAAAGTCTGAGTCAAACAGAGTATGAGTAGAAGGGATGGTAAGGATAAGCAATTCAAGGGGTTTTGGCTATCAGAGAAGCAAAGAAATGGGGCAGTGGCTGGAGGGATGTATGGGATCAAGGTAAGGATTTTCGAGGTCGGAGATATAGTGCCTGTTTGTATGCTGCTGAGAATTATGCAGTTTGTTCATGCATGGAAGACAGAAAGGGAACAAATGCTCCACTGATGTCCCTGAAGAGGCAGTGGGTGGGGTGGGGGGGGAGGGGTGGAAGAGGCTGGAGGTGGTGGCGACAGGCACAGGCACTCCTCCACTGTAATGAGGGATACATGACTGTTTCCACAAGCCACTCCCCACTTCTTCATTACTCATAGAACCCAGATTTTGTCCACCACCTGTGAGAGGCTATATCATTCAGGAGAGGTTGAGTCTCCCCTAGGCCCCTCAAGTGAACATTGTTTGGTGTAAGCCAGTTGCAGAGATCTGTCTTCTTGCCAAGACATATCCTTAATGCAGTCAAATACAGTTCTGATAAGGCCTCACTTGAATGAAGGCATATGAGACAAAAATATTCCCTTCTTTTGCCTGCCCTATGTTTGGGATCTTGAGGGACCAGTTTAATTAGAAAAGCTATGCGTTGCTAATGGCAGTAGCCTGGGTCCTTGAAACTAACGCTGGGTCAACCCTAGAGCTGCCACCTCCAGGCTTCTCACTAAGTTAAATAATAAATGCCATTGCTCTTTCCAACACATCATACAGTATCTACAGTATCTGGGTTTTAATTTACTTTTGGCAAACAAGCAAAGAAGATCTGTGCTAGTTCCATAGTTATTGGTAGTTCTGGAGTAATCAGCCCCACAAGAGTGTGAATGAGAACAAAAATTCAGACACACACTCGTGACATGAACTGTAGGCACAGGGCATCCCGGAACTACAGGACCAGAATGTATCCTTGGTACAGAGGTTTGCATGACACTTTTTGGGTACTTTCAGTAGGACTTTGGGAAAATAACTTAAATGATCTGTTATGCAGTTTCCTCATATGTAAAGTGGATGTTATAATAGTACCTACCTTATAGAATTCTTGTGAGGATAAAATAAACTTACATGTGTTAAGCTGCTTAAACAGTGCCTGGTCTATACTAAGTGCTATGATTTTAGCTATTAATTGGCCCTTTGCCTATGGCCATTTCTTTCCTATTGTAAGAAATAAATATAAAAACAGCTAAAAATTATTGAACATGTATTATGTGCCAGGCACCACACAACGTGCTCTATTAGTTGTTATCTCATAAACCCAAACTGATTATTTATTCTCTGAGGACTGCTGTTAACCTTGAGCTACCCAAGAGACTTTTTCTTTGGATCAGTCTCCCCAGAGACTCCCAACATATTTCAGAAAGAAAAAAGACAGTGTCGCCTAGCTTAGCTTTGACAAATGTGCAAATGCTCCAGACAGCATCCCAGAGACTCTTGCTACAAGCCATTTGGACCCCTCATGGGGATCATCCAAGTTTCTTCTCTGCCCTTACACCCCTCCCTGAAGTGAAGGGAGTAGGACAAAGGACTGTAAAGGCAAAAGGGGGACAGAAGTGGGGCAACAATATCATCCATCAGATTGGGTGGAGAGTACCCCCTGTGGATGAAACTTTGAGTCCACCCACATTTCTCCTTGCTCCTCCATGTGGCCAGAGAGAATGACCCAGAGGGGCTTTCCCTTGTGTGACAAAGGAGGAGCCCCTTCCTTTGGACAAACAAGTTGTGCAAAGAAACACAGCAGGATGCCTTAGCCTGAGAAGGTAAAGGCCATACAAAGTCCTGGACAAATGCAAGGAGACCTGCAAGTGTTCCTTACTGCTAGGGTGAATTGTCTGGTGTAGCATTCCTTGGCAAATTCTCTAAGACCTTGTCACTTCAGGTTCTCAACAAAGTTACATCCGATGTATGTACAGTTCAGATTTCCAATAAAAACTCCAAACACTTCTGTGGTCATGTCTCTGCTCAGAAACCTCCAAGTGCTTCTCACAGTTCAGTGAATTAAGTCCAACCCCTCACAGGATTTTGAAATGACTGAAGCAGCATTTCTGGCAAAGGCTCAGACACACTGAAGGCTGCGTCCTGTACACAGAGCCCACAGGTTGAAACCTCACTCTGTGATGCCTACTATGTATGGCTTCAGAGCAAGGCAGCTCCCCTCCGGGCCAGCTAAGACAGCTGCTGCTTCTTCCATGAGGAGCTCAGTCTTACTGGCTCAGTGAGTGGGGAACAGTGATGAGTGCTGACCCTTCTTGCATCTTAGGCCCTCATGTAATAATCCCATCACCAGTCCTCAAACCAAGGCTATTCTGGAAGGAGTCACTGGGGACAGAGTACACTCTGAGCACTTCATAGATGTCTTAACTAATCATCACTCTAACAATATGAGGGTGGAATTACTCTACACAGTGTATAGACTAGGGCTGCTCAATAATATTTGGTAAAGGTTATACAACTGGTGGGCAGTGGAAATGGAATTTGAGCTGAGGTTTGACCCCAAAGCTAGTGTATTTTTCTTCATCTATTGAAATGACTATACAGTTTTCCTTTTTTGTCTTTTCTTTTTTTTTTTTTAATTTTTTTTTCAACGTTTATTTATTTTTGGGACAGAGAGAGACAGAGCATGAATGGGGGAGGGGCAGAGAGAGAGGGAGACACAGAACCAGAAACAGGCTCCAGGCTCTGAGCCATCAGCCCAGAGCCTGATGCGGGGCTCGAACTCACGGACCGCGAGATCGTGACCTGGCTGAAGTCGGACGCTTAACCGACTGCGCCACCCAGGCGCCCCCTTTTTTGTCTTTTCTTAAGATGAATGACATTTATTACTTTTCAAATGTTGAACCAGGCTTTCATTTCTGGTCTAACTCCTCTTGGTCATATTTTATTCTTTTTATATACGGTTGACCCTTGAACAACATGGGTTTGTGCTGTGCATGTCCCCTTACATGTGATTTTTTTAAATAAATACAATATGCTGTAAATGTATTTTCTTTCCCTTATGATTTTCTTTAAAACATTTTCCTTTCTCTAGCTTACTTTATTGTAAGAATACGGTATATAATACATATACAAAAATACGTGCTGATTGACTGTTATTAGTAGGTCTCTGGTCAATAGTAGACTATTAGTAACTACTTTTGGGGGGAGTCAAAGTTATATGTGGATTTTCAACTACACAAGGCTCTATGTCCCTAACCCCTGCATTATTCAAGCTGTATTACTGGATTCAATTTGCCAATATTGTATTAAGAATTTTAGAGTCATTGTTCATGAAGGATATTGGTTAGCAGTTTTCTTCTCTTGTAATGTCTTTGTATGGTTTTGGTATTAGGGTAACATGGGTATCATAAAATGAATTGAGTGTTACGTGGATCCTGAGAAACTTAACAGGAACCCATGGGGGAGGGGAAGAAATAAAAAGAGAGGTTAGAGTAGGAGAGAGCCAAAGCATAAGAGACTCTTAAAAAATGAGAACAAACTGAGGGCTGATGGGGTGTGGGAGGGAAGGGTGGGTGATGGGTATTGAAAAGGGCATCTTTTGGGATGAGCACTGGGTGTTGTATGGAAACCAATTTGACAATAAATTTCATATATTTAAAAAAAATAAAAAAAATAAAATGAATTTGGAAACGTTCCCTTCTATAGTTTGAACAAGTTCTATATTCTAAAAGAACTTAATTATTCTTAAGCGTTTTGTAGAATTCACCAGTGAATTCACCTCTCAGCTTGGAGGTGTCTTTAGGTGGGAGGATTTTAAACTCTGAACTCAAATTATCTGACAGATATAGAATGATTTAGGTTATCTAATTCTTGAATGAACTTTGGTAGTTTGTCTTTCAATAAATTTGCGCATTTCATTCATGATATCAAATGTATTGGCATAAAACTGTTCATAAATTCCCTTATTAGCCATTTAATGTGTATAGAATCTGGAGTAATAGCCCTACTTAGATCTCTGACATTGGTCATTTGTGTCTTCATTTTCTACACCATTCTGGTCATAAATTTATTAATTTTATTGACTTTTTTCAAAGAACTACATTTTGGTTTTGTTGATTTTTTCTATATATTTTTTTTTTCAATTTTACTCATTTCTGCTCTTATATTGATGATTTCCTTCCCCGTGTTTCCTTTAGACTTCATTTGCACTTCTTTTCCTATTTTCTTAAGGTGAAAGCTTAAAGTATGGATTTCAGACCTTTCTTGGTATTTTATTTATTCATTCATTCATTCATTCATTCATTCATTTTTAGAGAGAGAAAGAGCATGAGTGGGGGAGAGAGGCAGAGAGAGAGAGAGAATCTTAAGCAGGCTCCACACTCAACACAGAGCCTGATGTGAGGCGTGATCCCATGACTCTGGGAACATGACTTGAGC